TCTGCTTGGATTCCAACTCAGGCTGTTAATCCAATGCTCTAACTATTGTGGCTATCCGAATTAACCCTCGGTAACTTGTTCCACTTTCACATTACTTGGTACAGAGCTCATTCGCCATTGCCATTGGATGGGCGTTGTCAGGTAGTCGTTGATTGCCTGCTGCACGACTTCTAAACAGAGTCNGCATGTGTAGGAAATTGACATAATGAGCATAGATTTGTTTAACTGAGATAATTTGAGCGATTTATTTTGTTTTTAAAAAATAATTATTCGCCCTGCAGATTTGACATCTTCAACAACGTCGGTATCTCAATATAAAATGTCTAGAAACCATTAACAATCTGCGCGCTGCCGGATGTGTCTTCTGGTTTGTGGGTCGGGTATCTGCCGCCAATCCGCAGCTAACCGCTAATCAAAACAAACTTAGGCTCATTAAATAAGCGTTCGCGAATGATCAGCAAGTGTCCAATGATCTGCGGGTCTTTCGCTCGGCAAACATCCTCCTCATCGTGCACCGCACAAATCTGACGACGGTACTGTGCTATTGCAAATGCGGCACGATACTCATCAGGTTATTGACTCATATATTCGTTCTGGTTTGACCAAGAGAAATTTTGTCACGAGTTGGCGAATTCTTCGAGAACATCACAGCTCTCGAAAAACCCTTACGATATCTGATGTGAGGGTTGAAAATGGATACAAATCATGATATTATTAGACTGTCTGTCGCGGTACGACTTAACTGGGAAACACCGGCACGCTGTATTTCCGCTTTTTTTATTCTGAATATATGCAGGCTTTTGGTGTTCGGCATACTTCTAAACAGACAGTTTCAATGAAATTCTCATCTTCGTCTCTTCATCGTGATCTCCAAAAAGTGAAAATGTATTCAATCAGTCAAATGTGTATGTGTTTGCCTTTCATGATGCCTCAGTTTCTCAGTAAAATTGCAGTTTGAACTTTCGCATTCTCAGTCGCACCATCACTATCCACTCTTGTATGGAAACAAGTTTGAAATAACTGGTTCATCGTTTTCGAGGGTCAAATGCATATTATAACCTTGAATTTCGTTCAAAACCATCACCATCTATTTCAAACGAACATTAAGCGTCGGTAGATAACGGCTCATCTGTGCCAAACCACATCGAGTATAGCTAAAGCATAAAAGATGTTCTATTTGTTCTGTCGCCTGTCACGGAGAACCACTATTTTTTTTCAGCCGGACGGTCTAATCTATGAGGCCTCATGGTGTATACAGCACGGTCTTGTTACTTGGTTGTCCACATTTCTACTCTTCTGGTACTATCACCTGCCAGCAGACTATCTGGATATGTTGCATCGTAGTGCGTTGCATCTGGGCTGTTGGACGTCGGAAAATCCACGCGCCGTGACCGCACAATCCACTACTTGGTCGCCAACACAAGTAAGCTGTTTTCGGTTGATATTATTCGCCTGTCACTCCGATAACTTCAAAATGGATTTAGTCGGTGTTTGTTCATCCCGCTTCGGTCTGTCATTCAACCGGAATCTTGGTTCAAATCTTATTGCTGTTAGGATAATTTGATCCGAACTTCCGTCATTGGGTGGCTCACTTATTGATGACTTCCCAGACTTGTTCTTGTAAATATCGAGACTAAGTGTTGTCCGCTGATTTCCCGCTACCCACATCCGTTGACCGGTAAATAAAAGAAATAAGAAACAGAGCGGTATCAATATGAAGATACTTGATGTCAGTTGTCCGCAGATAGTGATTTGATGTACCAATACCATTGTTTACAACATTCAGTCCAGTCCAGTATCTCTAACCGTCACTTACGTTGGCCCCGGGGTCCCAAACGGAAAACCCAACACTTGTATCCCCTGTGTCAGAGTCTAAGCACGTTTTGCGTTGCTTTAACAGCAGGAAACATCGCAGGCCAAGGAAGCCAATCTGGTGGTATGCGTAACGCATATCTTGACCACTGCAATCCACATTGATCACTTGCTGATGTGAGCGACCGTCTTTAATGTGCGTCACGTTTGTATAGATTATTGTTACTTTTGTGCTATGAAATCAGTAAGATACTGCTTGCAGCAGATGCAGTGCGTTATCTGCCCGGTCGGCTGTGAGCAACCATGCACTCGCCTTCTGGCTACAGTGATCATTAAGCAATGAACCAAGGCGCGTGCATCCGTTTAGCGAGTGTTCCTAAACAGGTTGAAATTCTTCACCCTCCATCTCTTTCGAGTTTTCTCAGTTCATTATTTTCTTTTCTCTCACTTTCTGTTGATTCTAAAATTGTGCACTTTTCTTAGTGTTTCGGGCACGAGTTCTTCGGCATTGTGAGACGCGACTACGGTCAAAGACATTCTGTTCGACCATTAGATGTATATATATATAATGCTGAATTTTCGAACAACAGAGGTAGTGAGACTTACTATCATTTAGGGGATGTGTTCATAATACTTGCTGATATTCATGCATACACGAAAGATGCATACAGCTTTAAGGTTTGAGTTGTTACCTTAGAAACACACATCTTTTTTTAACTATTCCGTTTAGATTTGTTGTTCATTTTTGTGTTCACCAATGGTTTGTAGTAGTCGTTTGATGTAATGTCTGCTTTCGTCGTGTTGTTGCTGTATGCGCCAATTATTCGACAGTCAATTTGCTTGAATTTCCCCCTTCCTCTTAATTAGTTGTTTTCTCAGTTTGAAGTGACAATGATCACTACCTTTTGACTGGCAACGTGCTTCTCAGATTATGTCCATTGAAAACACCCCTAATAGCCCAGAGAACGCATCATCTTTTATCTCAATTCCTAACTCTAGATTTTATTCATTTATTCCACATGTTCAAGCCTAACCGTGCATTGGACAGATCGTTCTGTTTCTCGTGTGCGTGTTTTTCTCTGTCTAGTTGGATAGTATAGTGATTATCTCATGGAAAACGCAGTCCTTTCTGTTTGTGCCGTTTCATCCAACTAGGAGATAACAACGGGTAATTAACGTGTCATGTTTTGAATTTTCCCCTGTGCACGAGAACGAGACGTGTGTGTTTGTGTGTTTTCTTATAAGCACCAATCTTTGCTTGAGGAACTTTGATGACTGTTACCATAGTTTTCACCCAACCCGTTTCAACAAAACTCTCACTTGCCACCGATTGTAAGGAAAAATACATACTGACTCATCTTTGTTCTATATGACAAACATGTTCAGTTCCAATTGCAGTCAACAAGACAAATCAGTTATTTTCGAGTACAAACGCACACACATTCATCAAGACCACTTTGTATAAGACCTATCCGTCACTATCCTTGGACGAATCGTAGTTGTCATTATTCCCATTCATAACTTTCTGAGTTCAGACTGTATGTCCCACAAATCACAGTACAAAGATGTTTGTAGCAGAAAAAATCAATCCGTGACTGGCACATGGGTGGAATACTATCAGCCCAAGCCCAAGCAGATGAAAAATTCTTGGAGAATTCATAATCGGGACTTTTGGCTAGTCAAAGCCTGCCCCGCGCGATAGCTGGGCGGTCTTTTAAAGCTACCGTCAATCCTCTGGGGACCGGTGTTCCGTCCATCGGATCAGTTAGTCAATAATTCCGGTGACCAATACCAGATTCAGGAAGATGCGGGTGTGTTTCGTAGACATCCTTTTAGTTGGCTTGGAATAAAGGTTCCTTGTCAACTATACACTGGGCCCCTGAGCTTCACCAGCCCGGATGTTCTTTTTTCCTCATTTCAATTTAGTTGGCAAACACTTCCGTCCCATGATGGCAATGATTAAAGCTTCCTCAGTTGAGTTGCGGAGCTTCTATCTTGTCTCAGCATCTCCTCATATCGGGCGCAAACACTTGGGTCAGATAGGCGGCGCGTCAAGCTCAACAAGATCCGACACTCTGGTATTGAACTACATCGACAGTAACTTATTGCTATGTAGCCATCGTGGATCAGGTTCAATGTCGTTCACCTAGTTTTCTATTTTACACTAGGCAGTTTGAGGCCGTACTCGTATGGACCACCGTGCTCAGTGCCCTTGATCATTAAAGCAACATGTCGGCGTCGCTTTGTGTATATTACCTGTCCATCTGCGCACAACTGGCGTAACATCTCCCTCCCACTCTCTCTCTCTCTCTGTTGAACCATCAGGTTCAACAATTTGCACGCATATACGCCCAAGGCTTTTGATCGTTTGTCAATGCAATACAACCGGATGAGATGAACAAAAAGCAAATCAGCTTTGTGAAAAGAGAAACCAGGATAGCGTCATTGCACGATCTATGTTCTGGACAATTTCTTTGCATCTCAACTGGGGCCTACTGCAGACAAATACAATGTTTGTATAAGGTTTGAGAATTGTTTTAAATTTTGTATTGCACACATTTGTGTGATGAATAGCAAATGGAGAAAACCCGATAGTCACGAGGATCTGCTATTCAGCGATGAAAACCGGACTTGGATTAGTGCATCCCATAAGGCCTCGTTAGGTTAGGCATGGTATTGAACCGGACGACAGTAACGCTGCCTAGAACCAAAATGGATTACAAAATGAACGCTTGTAAATGGGGGAAGCGTCACCAAGGCCAAGCTAAATCCTTTGTTGACACAGTTGGCTTCCATCGGTGGATTGCAATCGTCTCGGTGACCCTGAGTATTATGGTGTTATCATTAGTAAAAATCCACTCGAAGCGCTTTCTCTTGATCAATGAGGTGTTGTCATCAATAAGTCCTTGATAGTCGATGAGCTTGGTGTTTTGTAAGCACGTGCCTTGCCGCTTACCGGTTGTATGGACTTTGGCATAGCAACCTTGCGTTGAATCCATTTCGGACTGTGTTCCAAAACCCGATTATGTAATTTTGTAATCCATTCTCAATTCCCCATTGTATTTGTCTGCAATAGGCACCAGTTGAGATGCAACGAAATCGTCCAGGTCATAAATCGTGCAATGTTGCTATACTGGCTTCTCTTTTCAAATCTTTCACGGGAAAAGCCTGTTTCAGTTTTTTGAAATCAGCTATTGTGGACACACTTCTAGTTAGTCATAGTGATTAAGTTGACCGAATTTCGTAAACAGTTGCACTTCTGTACCAACGCACTTTCTGCGCATATATAAACAGACTATCTGGGTTCCGTATCTTTATTTTGGTCTTGTTCACAGTTGTTTTTTTCTTCGCTTCTCCCATCCGCTCCTTTGTTGCTCGACGAAATGGGCAACTGGGAGACAGCAACGAAACCGACAATGCAAGGTGTGTGTGTGTGTGTGTGTGTGTGTGTGTGTATGTAAAATTGAATTGGGAAATAAATTCCATGTAACCGTAGGTTGTAATTGAAGTGTGTTCATGGGAGGAAAAACTGAACCGTATGGAAATTAAATGTGATATTCACTAATAATCTCGTATTAAATGGCATAATCATACGTTACAGTAGTGCTTGGTTTATGACCAACTAAGAATGTGTCCTTCACTGATTCATGTGATCCGACTTTTCTTTGGATGTTTCTTTTGTTACGGCACACGTCCTTTTACCCCCGGGGCACGCCCATTGGTGTTTTTCTCATTTGTCTGTCATTTCACCCGTCTGTAGTTGTTTTTATTCCCTTTCCCCCCGGTCTGAATGTCCACATACGTGCACAGGACCTAATTATTGTTTGTTCCCGTTCCGACTCCCCTATTCCAACCAATTCAACCGTATTGACCTACAATCGTTCGTCATGACAACGTGCAGTTCGATGACATGTACTAAACCCTGGACCGCATGCGTGCATGCATGCCCTCCTATTTACGGTCGCGTGTGCCTATTATGTTCGGCTGCTAAGCAATGCACACGCGTGCGAGCTAGTATACTTTGCTAACACTTCGACTGCGACACACTTTCATGTAACCGTTATTTTTCGCTGCTTGATTCACCAACAAACCGGGGGGGTTACCTCCTTTGTAACACCAGGGTGTAGAAGTGAACGCCTCTGGCTAGCATACCATTACATGAGCACGTATTTTTATTTCTAAAGTGACCGTTGCGCCACCACCACCATTCGGGATAATGGTATGTTTATTCTGTTTCGTAACTCTCCGATACATATGGCCGATTAGTATGTCCTCGTGAATCCGGGGCTCACCATTACATCATGGTATACACAGTTTAGAAGATCATCTCGACTGACGTACACAACGATGAACTTTCCTGCTCCAACGAATCTGCATTCTGAACGTTCCTCGATTAGCGGAAACCACTCTGCGGCCTGCACACACCCTACAACGTTCCCCATCTGATCTTCACCTCCCTCCCCTTCCGCCACATACTTTCACTTATATATCGGGTTGTTCAAATAATCATACTAACCGCAGTGCCTCGAATGAAAATTCTGCTTTTAAAATGCAGTCTTCGCATTATATATATATATAT